TTTTTTTGTGTGTGTGTGTGTGTGTGTGTGTGTGTGTGTGTGTGTGTGTGTGTGTGTTTAATGTGGCCCGATGGACCACAGATCAGATACTAAACTGATCAGAAGAACAGATACAGTGCGCCTGATCTTACTCAGCCAAAAAAGGCCGAGAAAGTCGTTTAAGGCGAAGGGCAGAAATTAAGCGGCCAAAAAAAACCCTTCAAAAACGAAATATAAATAAATTAATAAAACGCACATCCGTGGCCGACGTGACGCGAAGTCCCTTTAGCGCTTTAGAGGGGGATTGCATTTAATGACTGAATCTGCACTTGTGTCTGTTTAGAGGTGCAGATTCAGGCGCTTAATCCAATCGGCTTTCGCCCCAGGGCCGAGGTCCCACTCGCAAAGAGGATCGGATCGAATGCCTGAATCTGGATGCAGAAAAGCAGTTCAATCTCGATTTCCTGCACCTCTCCACAAACACGTGCAGATGCAGGAATTCGATCCAATCGCCTTCGCAAGTGGGATCTCGCCCCAGGTGACCTATCCTACCCAAAAAAAAAAAAAAAAAAAAAAAAAAGGTGGCTGCAAAATAGTCGCCTGGCTTTTCGGGTATAACCCCCCTTCTGAACCCACAGACTCCAAAAGGTAGGTCCGTAGTAGAGCCGGGGGCAAGTCCCACCAGCAGCCTAGAGTTTTCTCAACGCCTGAATCTGGACGTGTTTGTGGAGATGTGCGGTTGAGAAAACTCAACACAATTTCTGCACATCTCCAAGAAACACGTCCAGATTCATCCGTTGAGTTGAGGAAACTCAAGGCTGGTGGTGAGACATGGCCCCGGGGTTCACGACGCCTGCATTTCGAAAGTGTCATTGGGCCCTTATAATAAACTGACAGTCAAAAAGAAAGTGTCACTACTGGGTGATTGGACCCCTAGGGTCCCTCTAAGGGTTCAATTATTTATGCCACTGGGTGATTGGACATCTAGGGTCCCTCTAAGGCCTCTGAGTCAGTGTAATTAATGATCAACGGCCAGATTTCACAGCCCTTTCCTTTTAGACTGAAAGACACCCCAAATACAGCTGTATTTAGACAAAAAAACACCCCAAATACAAATACAGCTTTATTTAGACTGAAAGACACCCCAAATACAAATACAGCTGTATTTAGACTGAAAGACACCCCAAATACAAATACAGCTGTATTTAGACTGAAAGACACCACAAATACAAATACAGCAGCTGTATTTAGACTGAAAGACACCCCAAATACAGCTATAATGAGGGTACCGTACCGTATTCAGGCGAAGGGAAGGTCATGTGAGTCCATTCTGAGGTGAGGTATTGGTCCTATGGAGCAATGAGCACTGTTGAATCTCATAATCCATGCATGCCAAGTGACTGGATTCAAAGTCAAAGTACACAATGTCATCTCTTACGAGGAGATTCAGCTTGAATCTGGACCTGTTTTCTGCAGAGAAGCAGAAAAGCACATCAATCCTGATATTCTGCACCTTTCCACAGTCACGTCCAGCTTCAGGAATTAAATCCAATCCTCTCTTTGCTGCGGCCTTCCGCCTCACCCGAATAGAACGTCGATCGGTCTTTAGCACACTCGGGGCAGTTTCCAGTCTACATACATCTAGTGCTGCTTCTTCCTTTTTTTCAGCAATGGATAGGGCCAATTGAAATCCAAAGCATAAGAATGGGAAAGCCAATGAATGCATCTGTATAACCATTCTGTACAAGTGGGGAGAACATTCTCTTGAAGGAACAGGTGCCTGGGGGAGGGGGGGGGAGGTCCAAGTAGCAAAAAGGAGTGGATGGACTGGCTGCATCAGGACGTGTTTGTGGAGAGGTGCAGAAAGTGGAGATTGAACTGCTTTTCTGCACCTCTGCTTAAACAACGTCCAGATTCAGGAGCTTAATTCATTCAATCCTCTTTGCTAGTGGGACCTGGGCCCTAGCTGTTCCCCAAACGTACGTCCAGATTCAGGTGCTAAGGGCCTTGTTCCACACCACTTACGAACCGTTACTTACATTCATTGTAAGGGCGCCCTAACTGGGCCAGGGTGATTAATTTATTTACCCTAACTCTTTTTTTTCCGTTCCACAGCCCCTAAGGAAGACCATACACTTACCCGCCACCCCTAAGGAAGACCATACACTTAGCCGACATTACATCTCAGTCAAGGAGGGCTGGGGCTAGGTCCCACTTGCAACAGTTATGCGATATTGACCGTCGGTAGCGAAGATCAACGGCCGAAATCTCCTAATCCGTGCATAGCGAAGATCAACGGCCAAAATCTCCTAATCCGTGCATAGCAAAGATCAACAGCCGAAATCTCCTAATCCGTGCAAGTGGGACCTTACCCCCGGGTGTCAGGACCTGTCAGGCAATCCGTATCCGTAGGGTCTCACCCTTACATTTCTACTAGTCACCTCCGGGGGATCCCTAGAGATTTTCATCCTTTTGCTTCGGGCTCCCTCATTTTGTAAGGGCGGACCCTAACAGCCGAGAATGTGAAAATAGGCTTACAGTTCGATTTCGTTGTCATTAGGGAGTGGTGGAACGATGATTTTGCAAGGATCCTTACATTTGTAGTGGTGTCGAACGAGGCCCTTACCCCCTCTTGAAGGACACAAAAAAAAAAAAAAAAAAAAAAAA